AAAACAATGGCAGTTACAGCAAATAAATGAAAGATTACATCTCTGCCTGGCTTTCTTTTTCTACTCTTCTCCTCCATCTCTGAAAATACTAACACATACAGATGAGCCAAAGCAGCAGCAAAGCCCTGCCAATTTGCCAGCATCATTTTTCTTCAGTTAGACTCTTTCTAAATGTACATGAGAAATTTCAGCTGTACTGAAGGACAGGAAATTACAAATTCTGCAGGTTAAAACCTTCCAATTTTGTAGAAGCCAAGTGTAAATTAATAACAAGCAGGAATGAGCAGAAGAGGAGTCACACATCCAATTGGCTGTCTCAGCCTCACGTGCCCTCTATACAGGTTTTTAGTGGGGTCTACATATGAACCTAGAACATCACAAACCAGAAAAAGCCCTCAAACAATTAGCTGCTATCTGTAACTACACCTCTGCAGATGAAAATTCCCACATGTGCAAAGAAAATTCAGAATGCAGAGTGAATCACAGCCAAATGTGACCTAAATGGTTTTAGAACAGTAGCCATCCTCTGATTAATATATAGGTGCATCTATGAGCACCAGCTGCTTCAATAGCAAATTTTTTTCAGCAGAAACAAAGCACTGTCTGCTGGTAACTGATTTCTGCACAAATATTTTATAAAGGGAATATCAGGATTTGTGTGTCCTAACATCTTTTATGTAGCTTTAGGATCTAACATGCTTTATCTAGCTTTCAGCTGCATGTGAAAGAGGTCATTTGGGTAAAGATTMGATGTGAAATTACACACTGCTAGCTGAATTCATCCTTTTTTGGCTTCAATAAAGTTGGTCAGAAAATACTGTTAGACAAGCAGAAAACATAACTGGAAATAATGAATATACTCCTAGAATCACAGAAAAAGGACTGGAATACACTAACCACCAAGTCCATCCATACCTGCCACAAAGGACTAGCTCTGGCTTTGCAAATACTTTTAACTGTTCTCCAAAGTAACTTCTTTTCYAGAAAATTCATAGTTCCAATCTTGCCTCTAATTCCTCGAATGGCTCGCTAACAGGCGTGCAGAAACACATATACACAAACAAATCTATAAACCAAAATCCTCAAGATTCCAGAATTTAAAGTTGAATAGCACACATGAAAATAAAACTATTATCTTATCCTGCATAAAAAACCTAATTCAAAGCCTAACGTAAACTATGGGCTAAAATTGCCTTAAAAATGAACTTTGAGCTATGTTGCTGTAACTGAAAGACATGCAGCTTCTGGATGAGAATAAACCCTGTGGAGAGTATGCAAATACAGAAGCAGGTGGAATAGGCTCATATTCAACATTCTGGGCATCTCAAACTGTGAATAATTTCATAGAAGGAACATTTAGATGAGAAAGGCAAACTCAAGCATGTGCCCTGTAAATGCCTTGACAACTTGAGTTTATAAAGAAGTTCACCTTATGGAAGAAGAAAAGATGTCCATATTCTATGATATTTATGAAAAAATTATGCAGGCTGGCATATTGTTTATGGCAACAGTGGCATAAAGACTTTTATAAGCCAGCATGTATTAGCTTTTCAGTCTTTACAGACACATCAGCAAACTTGTCATGTAGGTAGACACAAAGTGCATGTTTGAATATAGAAGTCCTCTTTTCAAAAAAATTTAGAATAAAGAAAAGGTGAGAACAGACACTTGTGACAGCCATCCACCACGCAATGTCAAAGCCTCACCATTAATGCTGACCTCTGCTAGTTATCATGGTTTTTCAAGTACATTTTTGAAAATAAATTTATTTAAAAACTGCTCTTTAGATTGCTGCTTCTATATTTTAAGAAATACATCAGAGTTTTCAGGAAATCCCGCTTTCATCTTGGCCAACGCTTTTATGGATCATTCTACAGTTACTTGAGGTGAGCAGTAACAAAGCAAAGCTCACCAAACAAATCCATRCAGAGTCAGGCCTTCTCTGTCTGTGAGCCCACTATTGCTGCAGAGAGAGTGAWAAAATATTTGCCCTTCTACACCCCCAGCCCAATGAGTGCTTCTTCCCTAATCCATAATCTTTATGCACACATTGTTCCAACAGTCAGCTTTGAACAATTTGACTCTCAGGCTTCTCCGTCAAGAGCTTAAAAGGCTTTCACTTGCTGTATTCTTCTTTATTCTGCTCCACAAAGAAAATTGCTGAGACACATCAAATACTGGTTTGCTAAAGATATTATCATATGAAACTTGCTTATTCAAACAACATGCTCTTCCTATAAACTACAGAGCACAGAACCATGACATGTGGGATGACAACTTTGATGTAGCCACAATGGGTGACAATGTCTCAGTGCACAGCCCCAGCTCATGTTTAAATGCACATCCTGTCTGATGCACTCTGGAAACCCTTTAACCCCACTTTTACAAGGGATTAACTTCCCCTAAACTGGTGGAAACAGTACCCTTTTAATACATGTTCTGCATTTCTTTTGTGATAACTTGCATTTCAAATGAATGTCTGGTTTTGGTTTGGGGCTATTTCCTTTTTATTTTTTCTTTTAAAAGRAAGATTATCTTGTGTTTCCAGAGTATTTTTCAGGCATAAACTTATAAAAGATAGGATATACATGTACTTTGGCACAGAGAAATTTTTGCAATAGTTTGCGAACCAATAGTAATTATTTTTATTTATTCTTTTTTAGAAAGCTTTTCTATTACAAAACAATATCTGGTAATCTTGTAATTCTGATAACACTCCAAAAGAACACCTTATTTATAAAATGTCTATATTTCCAAAAATAYATGGAAATTTATCAACAAAATATTTTCYAAYAATGAGTTTGTTCTAAATATGAGAYTTGCTATAAATATGAGATTATTACTGTTGCAGTTTGCTACATGYAAGATAAAGCCTGTTGTCTTCCCAGTGGCACTGTGTGCACAAACCATCATATTCCAACAGACACTKAGGCGTGACAGATGAGGAAACGAGCTTAGACAAAAATAACTGAAGTGCGTCAACAGTCCAAAATTAGTTTGAGGCATTCCCTTCATTTTCCAGAGAGAAAAGTACAATAAGAAAGATTCAACTGATGAATCAGTCATTAAAAAAAAAACAAAAACAAAAAACAACAAAGCCCTAAGTGTCAATGCAAAGGAAATAAATAGTTTTAAAACTCTAATTTAAAACTGTAGAAAAGGAGGATGCAAAATGTTCAAATTTGCTTCCATGCTGTAAGTATTTGTTGTGAAGGAGAAAAAGTAATTTTTCTCCTGCTTCCCACACACAATAGCAAAACTAGAGCTTGAGCAATTTTCTAAGATAATTAAACAACAGGTATAATAGATTGTCYTGTTTCTAGCCTTTTTGTCTTGTTATTGAGCAATGCTGAAAGCTTCTCATAGCTAGCACTTCACTATGTGCCTTTTCTTCCAAACCTGAAAACATGGTTTATTAACTTGTGAAACAGCTGTGTGTTTCTACAAAGGTGATTCATAAAAAAAAACAAAAAAAAAAACACCAAAAAAAAACCAAAGCAAGTAACATAAGTAGAAGAATTAAACCAGAGTTTTTCATGCTATTCCTATGACAAAAATGTGTGAAGAAAAAAGAACTGCTAAAAGAAAATTTCTTCTGTCCATACATGAAATGTCAAAGTGCTCAGTCCTCTGGCAAATAAACATCAACTAGTACACACAGTACCAATGAGTTAAACCACAGCACRCTTTATTTCTCCCCTGAAATTCCATCATTCTGTTTTGCAAGGATTTCACACAGTTTTTGCTTTGCTTCCCACTTTTGTTCCCATCTCTTTCAGCCATAATACCAGATTACAAACAAGACCTGAATGTATTGTTTAGTTAGTTTGGGAATCCTAAACAATTCACCTTACAAATTGAAACAAAGGCTTCAGTCACCTCACAGCTGATTTGGAGCTGCCAAAACTGGCACATCCAAGGAATTGGATTATCCRTCTTTTGCATAATGACTGTCCTGGGGCACTCTAACAGAACTGTAAGGGAATTAGAGGGAAGTAGATCTGTGTGGAACAAATACAAAGGAGTCATAATGGTAGGCTTGAAAATAAGGGGGAAGAAATTGAATACAAGGTTTGTAGGGATAGTAAAGATATGCTGGGAAAGAAGAAAGAAGAGAATGCTTTTTATTTAAAAACACAAACTCTCTAAAGGTGGAAGAATRTTAGAAGATATAGAGGCAAACCAATGGTGCTAAAACACTGAAGCCAGAATAAGAAACTCTACCAAAAATTAACTTGAGAAGACTGTTAAAAGGTTTCTTAACATGAGTAAGACTGAAACCCAGAAACCTACCATAACATCAACAGTATGATTTTTTTGTGGTTATTTTGTATTGTTTGCTGACTGGGCTGAGAGGAAGTCTGATTGAATCAGTCAGCACAATTATAAACCTCTGTAATCTACAGATTTCTCCCTCATTACTGAATTCAGCCTACTGATACATGTCCTACCAGAGGAAAGTCCTGAATTTCAATCTATGAATTAGCACAATAAACTGCAACAGCACCATCAGAGACCTCTTAGCACAGCCTCTCAACAAGAATCTTTAGGACTTTAATTATTCACCAGGATATTGAATATAGCAGAGAAGATGGAAGCAGACAGCCCAAATTCTGTATATTGAAAGTGCTTGGTGTGTCACAGCCTTAAACACCAGCAATAAAACTGAATATTAAGTAATATTGCGATTTTAATTAAATATAAGCTAGCTTCAGATCTAAAGGTAGTTACTTTAAATTRCAATAATGAAGACTACAAAAATCCACTTTAACAACATCACAGCAGAGTAAGGCAACATCAGATCTGTATGGCCTGGGACAAAGGCTAATCTGGAATTAAAAGGGATWAAATGACTTATATAATAAAGGGCCAGAAAAAGGACAAAAACAGATGCATACTTATGTGTAGCTATGGAGCTTATAAATATCTTCTTTATCTGTTCTAAACATCTGATTACCTACATGACACAGAGGAACTAAGGAAACAGAAGTAAACCATACCTGTATTAGAGAAAGATCCTCAAGGTTCAATCTGAAGAGGTAGTTTCTGGAGTTAAAAAAAATAGTAGATGAAAATGAATTGTTAGTAATGTTTCAGTAAAAAAAAATGTTACCACAGTTTAAATAAAAACAGCAATGACTATAAAGACAGCAAAAAATTTAAAAGTGACAGGTATTCAGAACTTCAAATGCTTTCAGAGGCTGTCTTAACATACAGCCCTTTGGGCTAAGGACTAAACTAATTTCTAAAGCAGATTTTCAGTTTGTAGGATTCACTGAACATGAATAAAGTAGGTACTTATACTGTGTGCATGCATGGACATCGTTGCTCCAGTCTTCCYTTAGAATCAATGGGAAGAAACACTCAGTGCTTTGGCAGATTCATGTCACCAGTGGTMGATGTCTACATCAGAACAAGGGGGMAGGCAGRGCAAAGCTCTCCATTTCTCCCCACAAAGACAGGAACCTTATGCAATTAGCTCAGCCATATATATGTATACGAAAAATTTGACACAGAGGATTTCAGCATGGTGGCAAATCTTACAAGCCATAGAGGTTTCACAATTTTAAGCAAAGTCTTGCCATACAGGGTGAAATTTCTTTGGAGCCTGAGAAWTTTTTCCCACAGACAGCAGGAGCTACACACAAACCAACCAAGCACAGTTTTCAAAAGCCTGTGCATTTATTGCAAAAACATTTCTCAATCCGTGTTTTTTTCTGCAGTAGCATCGCTGCACCTACAGAACTTGGGAGGAGTTCAGGCAAACTACAAGCAAGACACATTCCGCCTGTACCATTGTTTTTTTTCTTTCTTAGTTCCTACAACACCTCTTTTTCTTCTTTTCATTTTTTTTTTTTTTTTAACTCACATTCACAGAACTAATACTCTTCAGTTCTCTTCTAATTTTTAGCTTCTTTGAAGCAATTCTCATTTTCCAATGCTGCTACAGAGTGATTATGTTTTAGAAATGAAGAAGAAAAGGATTTTTACAATAATAAAATAAATTACTCCAATCTTAATTTAGTTATAATAAATCTGTAACATCAATTAGTAAGATTTAAAAAAATTTGCTTAAAGTAACAAAAAAATCCCAGATGACAGAGAAATGAGTAAATTTAAACTTTAAATATTTGCAATATTCATGAATTATCTGCAATATTACGTCCATGTAACTGATAGATGTGTAATCAAAACTAAAATTAGGTCACAATTAGGCCATTATTTTGAGATAATAATTCTAATTCTTCCCAAAGAGGTACGAGATATTGTAAAYAGGCAGAGATAGTCAGGACTGTAGTTTACACCTCTATTATTTTTATTTTTTTTTAATGAGACAGCAGGGAAAGGGAGAAGAACAAAACTAAATTGTGTCTAACTCAGAAGCACAACCACTGTCATGGGTATCTCATTTATGGACTCTGGGAAACAGCTATGTGTATTTATTTATTGACTCTGGTACATATATGGACTAYTTAAATTGTGCCTGTACAGGAACTATGTGTTTCCTAGGAATATTGCAAAAGGGAGTGAGTTACTGAAAATGCAGGAGGCGGGTTATTAAGGACAAGAATTCATGTGAAAGTAAATTAAAAACCAAAATATTTATTATTAGACAGATAAATCACCAAAAGAAATAACTAAAACATTTGGGTTTGGGTCATGAAGAGACGTGGAGTGGATAAACAAAGAAAACAGTACTTTGCAGAACAATGGAAGCCGAAAGCTTCACCAACAAGTTACAGGCAAGTGGACTTGAGAGACTTTAACCAAAACACRAGGAAGCAATATATTATAGCCTTTCTAACACTTCTACACTCTCTATGTAAAGACAAAAACTACCTTCACTTCTGCAAAGTGTCTTGCCCAGAATTAATCAGCAGGGAGCATAAATATTTGGTCTGCTCCTCATCTCRGTGCATTTAAATTCCATCACCCATCATTGTACTTCTTTCACTCCACTATCAATGAAATCTATTTCACTGCTGTTGCAAAACAACTTTTTCTCTTCCAGAGAAAAAAACTTCCAGAGAAACTGAACTCCATCCTCAGCAGGTATAAACTGCTTTCTTAACTCAGTGGTGTCAGACTCACAGGAACCGCACACAAATGCCCCATCTCACGCTACAAATAAATGCAGTCTCTGTTGCAGAATATGTGAGCAGACAGTCTGGTCTCACACTTTTAGTTTTCGGGTCAGTTCTTAATACAGTGTCATTTCAATCGCTATGTGCACTTCAATATCTGCTGAATTTTTATGCCTGATGAGGCCTTTTTAAGAGATTACCGAATCACTAATGTCTTTTTATCGTTTTCCATTCTGACATCATTTCAGCCTAYTAAAAAGTAAGCCATTGTCCTAAACTGTAAAGATTCTAAACTAATAAATGCACAAACACAGTGTCAGCCTGAAGAAAAACAGACACTCAACATTTTTCTTGTCTTTTTCTTCCAGAAAATTAGGTTTTTATCCTATTCAGTAGAGCACAACACTTCTACACATTAATATATTCAGCGTGAAATTAGAAAAATTGACYCTATAAATGTTAGGGAGACTAAAATGTCTATATTCGTGTGAATGATCAAGAGACAGAGCTAATTAGTGTACATTTTTCAATTTCCTGTGGCTGCCAATAACCAATTAAAAATTTTCAGCTTTATAGAGCCAGCAGAGAGAAAATTGAATAAGAAAAGCAGTGTGCAAGAGACAGTGAAAACACCTTAGCAACACAAACTGGGCAAATGGACATCACAGATTGATTGTGACCACATAAATAAGTGGCAAATGGCACTCAGAGAGCAATCAGAGCTGTTCCTACTTAGATGTGTCCACTTCACTAAAACTTGCAGGACTACATTTAGCTTTACAAATTCAACAGTTTAACATTCTAAGGCATGCATCACTACCATGTGAGAACTAATTCAGAAAGCACATATAGSAGAAAAAAATTACAAGAAAATTACAGAAATAAGCATGACAGTAAAAAAGCACATTGGAAATGTAGTATTAATAAATCTGAAAGTCCAAAGAAAAAGTCAATGCCAATTTTCATGACATGTGCAGAGCCATTATGCTCTTCACAACAGTTTTTCAGTGTGTTATTGAGATTATGCCCTAGGCTGCCATTTTTCAACCTCTGTTCTKCTTTATTCCAGTGCATTTATGCCTTGAAGGCAACAAAGGACGTGAAATAAAAATGAAATTTCATTTCTGAAGCACAGATATGACCTCTTAGCACACAGCCCTGCCTCTTTTCCAAATATGGTGTCAATAAGCGAGAYAAATACAACTTTGCACACTGGAATTAAACTGATGTGACACTACTGGTAATTGGCAAATTTGTTTCCATTTGGTGCCTAATGAATGAGGAAAGCAAATATGTTACATAAATCTGAAAACAGAAGGACACTTAATGAGAAGAAAACACAACTAACTGAGATGGAGCAGCATCCTCTACTCCTTCAGAGACCCAGCAGGCAATAAGCATTTTGCTTTACATTCTCAGCACTGAACAACTTTTCTAGCTCAACTATGATAATTAAAACCCGTTAGTCAAGAACCTGCTCAAACCCAAGGGCAAAGATTTCTGCTGGTATCAGTGGGAGCCAAATGAAAGTACACAAAGAGCATTCTCCAGACACTTCCTTCACAACAATATATTTCAATCTAATTCATTCAGTATAGCTACAGCTAAAAGTACAAAACTAATCTTCTGTGTATTCCTGAGCAAGTCCAAGTCAAAAAACAAATCAAAATCCATAAAAGATTCAAAAGTATATCATGTTAGAGATGGTTGTAAAGTCCAGCACTTTACCCTTTTCCTTGTGAAACTGCAAGCTATCAAAGCTGAATGGAGCAACAATAAATACTGATGCATTAGACACAGACCTGAATTAGAAGAACATTAAGATGGCACATAAAGCTCAGGAAAACAGGATTCATGATTAAGCTTTTTGAAGAAAGATGGCAAAATATATGTCATAAAGTAGCAAAAAATCTCCTAAGCCATCCTAAGGCCTCACATGCATCTGCAATTGGAAGCCTGAATCCCTAAATAGGATTGCAGCAAACTCAGAAACTCAAGGTATGCTGCCAAACATGCTGCCAAATCTTCTGAAAATAAACTACCAAAATATTCCCCCCTGTTTACTTCTCTCAAGAAACTAATTTACATGAAAAAAAAGAAAACTTTATTCAAATCACTGGGAGAACAAAATAGTGAGACTTAAAATGAAAAGTATAAACTCTGCAAGAGTCAAATATTAAGCAWCATTTCACAATTCCACAATTAAGATGATAAAGTTCTGGAAAAGCCAATTCTGGCTTTGCAGTATAATAAAGTCAGCAAGTGGAAAGAAAATTTTGAAAAATAAAGTTAAGAACAGGACAAAATGAGATCATCAGTATAAATAAAATAATTRTGTAGAAAATTTATTTGGTTAAATCATCAATCTATAGGGAAAATATCTCAAAAAGCCAAGGATAATACATTGGAAATTTGAAAAAATCCAAATAGTTTGTAAATCATTTACAAAAATGGTCAATTTACAATAGCAAAAAGCAGAATAGTCAAAAGTAATGTATTTTCTTCATTGTGCGTGAAATGGATGCCTCAGCAAATGAAAATAATGAAATGAGAGGCTTACTGATAAATGCTAAAGATATGAAAACAGCCTATGCACAGAGATAAATATTTTCAGACTAAYAGGTCATGTTGATCCATCCTAAAAATTATGGAAATTTTTTTTTTGTTGTTCCTATTACTCTTTTTTAGTAATTTCTAAAATTATGTGTTTAAATTGAAGGAATGAAGACTAACCATGTTTTATTAACATTCAAAATGGCAAAGGCAAGATTCATGYAATCACAAGCTGACCAGCGAGACAATGAGCTTGTCAAACAGAGTAAGAAAAACACTRTGGCAGTCAGTTAGGAAAGAATTCCATTATAAATTGAATTAACCCGCTCAAGGGTCCTGTAAAATCTGATTTCCTCCTCTGATGCTTTCTCCTCTGGATTAGCAAACCTTACTTCACTTCCCTGTAGC